GGGCCGATTGAAATTTGACAAATACTTTGAATATTATCTAATACAAATGTTGTAAAGACAAATCAAATCTTTACATAAAAACATAATCAAAATGTCTTATCCCTGTTCACAAGGAGTCCATCAACAGCATAATGAATTGGGCTTTTTATCTTTTAAAGTGCATAGTGAAAAATATTTTTCTTTTAAAAATACATTTTTGCCTTCGCCTAGAGGTGGACGGTTAATACCAGCACAGGTATTACATTCTGCCATGACTTGGATTTGTGTCACAGCCATCACCTGTTTCATACACACATTTGGTTGTAGTGCACACACGAGGCAACACAGTAAGTAGCGTTAAATAGTGATTTGTGACAACAGCTCGGGATTAAGTTCCCCGGTCTTCTGCATGTTTTGCTCTGGTGCTCACAAAGCAGAGACGCGGTTGGATTCGCATCTTCTACCAGTCTACCTGCTGAACGTGTGTTTCAACTGATGTCTAAAGTTCAGGATGATTATAAGAAGAGGACTGTGGCTGCAAAATCCTGCTCAAGATAGCAGCTGTAACTCCCTACGGTGTGGTTGAAAATGTTCTTTTTCTTGGAATACTTTGATTATGACAGAGCCATATCAGGAAATGTGTTGTTTCAGCAGCGGCTTAACATAACTCTGCAGAAAAGTTAAAAGACTTTGAAGCCACAGACGGGCAGGGAAATATTGTGAAGCATTATGATTACTGTGTCTAGTTTTAGTATTTTTTTTTTTTTTCATTTAAAAACAAACAATGAAATATCACCAGGTTCATACTTGATGTATAAAAGTAAGCATCCTCACAATAATTCCAAAAAATGGGGCGCATACAATCTGTGATTTTAGATCCTCTATGCTTTTAATTGCTCTTTCTCTATCTTATTTTTAAACACAGATCAAAAACCAACCAGCTGTGTCATCTGAGCTTCCACTGTACTTCCTGAAATAGAAACTTGAAAACATATTTAGCCTGATGGAACAAGGGAGAAACAGGATAAGGCCTGTAATGCATTTTGGGGGCATTGTGTCACATTTACACCCCAGTAAGAGCTGTCTGATTGAGTTATGGTAAGACTTAAAGCCTTTGTTGAGAATCTGTTTAGTGTAGCAAGACGCTGCGTTGTGAAAGAGGAGAGGAAGAGAGCGTGAGAGAACACATTTAACAACAAGTCATTATCCAGCTCGTGACTCAGTGATGTGAAGGAGACAAAAGATAGACATAAAGATAGACAGTCAGGATCTCCAGTTCATTCTTAAGATGCTAATGATACAGACTCCATGTTCTACTCTGTGCTTGTCTCTTTTCATCACATAGGCTACACAAAGCAGACTGGGGCAAGACATGAGATTGCAAAAACACGTTCAAGATAAGACCTTTTTTCTCCTTATATTTTGCAATTACAGTATCGGGGTTAAACCCTTGCTAGCATCATGACTTTATTGATATTAAAGTTCTATGAGTTAGATAGTCCGCCACTTTGGTCCAGACTGAAATATTTGTTAAATGATCCAATGGATGCTCTGACATTTGGTTTCGCAATCATGCAACACTCACAGATGACTTTCCATTCAGTACTTTAAACAACTCAAATTAAAATTGCTCCAATAGTTTCTCTAAACATCTACCTGCAGCCCTACTTCTCTCTAAAGTAACAACATGGAGGAGTTTGGTTTGGTGCGATTGCACTGTGTATTGGTCTTGCGGCCTACTGTTTTGAAAAGCTCCAGCCAACTCCAATATTTACTCAATTTCTGCTGCTTCTTTGGTCACTCGTCTTCCATCTCTTAGGCTCAGCCATTGTATCAAACTCTGTTGCGACGGCTAACTGGCTTTTTTTTTTTTTTAGCTTTTACTTGTGCTGTAAAGCCATATGCATATATTCTCGCTTGCTGACAAAGTTACAGTGGTGAAAACAGGCGACTGTTGCACTATGTTGAAATGGGACTGACGCCATTCTCCCTGTTGAAAGTTGTTTTACTACTTGATCGACTTTTAAAATACTATTTTAAAGTGGAAAAGTTACATATTGTTGCTTTTAGTGTCAATTGGGAAGGTTAGCACAAAATAATTAAGGTCAACATTAAATTGGCTAAACATCAGCAGGTTAGTTTTGTAGTATTGCAAAGGTCATGTTAGCGTTTAGCTCCATGCTTCACTGTGCCTCAATACAGACAGGGGGATGGGCATTTACAGTAATCTGAACACTCGAGTACTCTCATTACTTTATGATTGAGTACACACAGGTGATTTTACAAATATTTTACAGTAAAAATTAAATGTAGGACACGGACCTCTGGGTAACCTGCCATGTTCCCTGCAGTGTGTCGCTCATCAGTACTAAGTGTCCAGAGTACAGCAGTCTTCAAATCCCAGTTCTGAATGAAATGACTGTGAAAGTGATTTTAAGGTGCCACTCTGCGGTGAGAGCTGTCCGTGAGTCTGTAACAGACACTTTGCAGTTCTGCTCACTTCAGCTGCACTTTCCTCATACATCTTTCCCACTCTCGTAGCTCTTGTTCTCCCTGATTGTGGCTTAAATACTCCGGCTCAAAAAACGGCCGAAGCTTTCTCCTTCCACAAAACTTATTGGAAACATATCTCCAGTCATCATTGTGGTAATTAGTAGGTTCATCTTCCACACTATTTATTCTTATTATTTTCTTACTAGCTATGTACAGTTGCCCTTTGTAAAGGTCTATGCTCTCTGAGTGACCTTCCAGTTAGAGATAGTTCAATGGCTCATATCTAATTGAATGTCTAAATAAGGAACAAGTTTTGAATAGATTTACTTTGGTTTCAACAAATATAATAAAAGTTATCTGAACTGAACAGGATTTTTATTCATAGTTTTTCATGTTTAGTATTTTACAAATGTAATATATGGATTCAACATGACAAAACAAGAAAAGTGACAGACCTTTCTGGGCATAAACATACTCTGTATAATCAGAAATTAGTTTCGGAAGTCACACATGAAAGCGTCTCAGCATCGGGGTCAGTGCTCAGGTCAGCCTGCCAATAAATAGCAAATGTTCCGATTTATATCAGAAAGAAAAATGCAAGCCTTGTGCAAGACAAAATATAATTAGTAAGAGGTCAATCTTAATTCGGAGAGAGTCGGTTAGGGTTAATACATAATTCATGTGACCTCTTCACTCATGCTGACCTTTTTTGGGGCTCTAGCCCCTCCCACTGAGTAGTGTTACCATGGCATCGAGTGTCAGAGGAAACGGAAAATGTCAACAAAGAGGCTTTTTGTCACTTGGGTTTTTACTGTGAAATAAGAAACATGATTGTTTGGCAAAAATAGCTGAAATTCACTGTTCGTGTTACTAAGTGATAGCTATCGCACAGATTAGAGCTTTATGTAGTTTCACATGAAGATGTGGGAGTAAGTGATCCAATTTATTTTTCTTGGGCCTGTTTGTTCCCAGAAAGATCTTAAAATGATGAAGACATTTCTGTAGAAATTACATGATTTTTTTTTTATCACAAGAGAAATTGTACAATGTTAGAATTTAGAACCAGATTTCACTTCAAGATGAGTACTAAAGAAGGAATTATCCTCTTTTTAAAAACTCACGCTGCTTACATAACATTTATTCATTTGATCTATTAAAAGACAAAGAGAGGTCTTGTGACAGTTCCTGAGAATGACACATGATATAGCAGAAATACAAATTCATGACTAAGTAAAACAATAGAAAAATGCATTCTGTAGCAACTTTAATTTTCCCATGTAATTGGTCAAATTACCAGCTGAATAAAGATAAAGATGCACTGCCCCCTGTTGGCCAACAATTCCACTTCAACAGCACAAGAAATCTGTCATTACATAACCAATGCAATTTCAGGTTCAATGTTATGGGTTGAGTGTTCCTGGCAGTCTGTGAGAAGATGATACTAAAGATACCTTCAGTGGAGCACTAGTTTTTTTCTTTTTTTTTCTTTGAGCAGAATGGAAATTGTTTGAGACAGGAACAACTGAACCATTTGTTGCTGTGTATGTTTTGTTTTAGTTTGTGGATTTCATGTTTTTCTTTGTATCTCAGTCGTTGTGGTTTTTATCACTGGATCTCATTCAGTTTTTATGAATCTGGTGTATTGTTTTTTCTCTGTTATTGCTTGCCTTTTAGCCCCTGTTTTCATACTCTCCTTTAATAAATTATCTCAGGACAATTTTAACTATTTAGCACTGACTGCACTGTCACTTTTGCACTTGTATTTTAATACTCTCTTATCATATTATAACCTCTGATTTGCTGTTTTTTCATCTTCTCTGATTTTTTTTAAATGTCCTTTTTTTAAAGTTTTATTTTTGGTCATTTTGTGACTACAGTGTAGAAATAGGACAGTGGATAGAGTCGGAAATCAGGGAGGAAGAGAGTGGAGAATGACGTGCGGGAAAGGAGCCACAGGTCGGATTTGAACCTGGGCCACCCGCTTGGAGGACTATAGCCTCCATACATTGGGCGTTTGCGCACAACCAGCGTCCCTAAATGTCCCCTTTAAAATGTTCTTCTTTCCTTCGTGTGTTAAGCACTTTGAATTGCTTCATTGCTGAAATGTGCTTCATAAATGGTAAATAGACTTAACCTTGAACAGCTCTTTTCTAGTCTTCTGACTTTTCACACTGCAGGTCACACCTACACATTCACACCACATTCAAACTGATGGCAGAGGCTACTATGTAAAGTGGTCATCAGTATTAAATAATCTATTTTCATTTGCACTGCTGAAGCAGCTGTGGAAGCAATTTGGTCAGTGTTTGGTTCAGTGTCTTGCCCAAGGACACTTCCACATGTGACTTCAAGAGCTGGGGATTCAAAATACCTTCCTAGTCATTTCTGGTATTTTTCACATCTACACCATATCTAAAAGTTAGATAAGAGATAGAAATAGATAAACCATATCTGTTGTTTCAGGGGCTGAAACCATTTCCTCTGAATGTTAAAATAACATAACAAGGAAACTCTCATTGACACCCAAAGCATTTTCAGAAGAATTTAATATTGCAACTTGCATTTGAAAGACATTGAGAATCCGAAAAAGGGGATGGACAACTCACAGAGAGAGCAAAGGCAAAGAGCTGACGTCTACACAGCCCCTCTTGATATTCTTGGAAGGACGGTACAGACGAAAGAGAAGCCATGACGTAAAAACACACGGTTTTGTTTAGTCTCTCCTTGTGCTGCACCTCCCACAGATTCACACACACAATTTAACCGATCACTTTACAGCTCCACGCTGCGCAGCAAACGTCCACAATGTCAGCACTTTGTCATGTAGGATTTACATACAGCATCAACAAAATGACACGTGTCACTGAGGATGAAAGCAGCGCCGGGTCGGATTATTCCAAACGTTTGGATTCATGTTGGGAGTACCACAGGGACGGGGGTTACTGCATGTTTGACAATCAGATACCTTCTTATGAATGAAGTCACCAAATGCTTTAATTTCCAAACATTCTGGTTCCTCATGTTGACCAATGAGAACAAAGTAATCTAAATTAAACATGTATTAGTAACTAAGCATTGATAGTATGATTTTTTTGTAGCTCTGTCGTTAAGGAGGCACTGAAGAACCACATTTCTATGATGTGGTTGTCGACGTTACAGGACTTTTCTTTGAATAACGTCCTGTATGAGCTGTGCATTTGACACTTAGTCATGAAATCCTACTGCCTCTACTGCATTGAGCCACTACTTCTTAGGATCAAACATCGGGGTTCTCCTCTTATCCATGTCTTAAAAAAAAGGTACATATATGGCACTGATTTGTGAACAATCTCTAATCTCTAATATAAATAAAGCGATAACCATTCTCATGAATGTTGTCGGTTCTTGGCAAAAGGCTTAGTTATATGTGCTTTTTTAATGTGCAGTTGTTTAAGCAAAGTATGTTTGCTGTCTACAGACAAAAGGAGGACTGTAGTAACGTTACATCCACGTTTAATGCAGTTTCATACCATGTTTCGTTTCAAAACCGGTTTAATGGTTTCTTAAAGACTCTGTGATACATCAAAGTGTGAAACTTCTGCCTGAATCCATGTTATAAATCGACCCCTGTGTTGTCACTGGCGCCGACCGATATGGGATTTTTGGGGCCAATACCGATACTGATACTGGGGAGGGGAAAAAAAATCACCTACCGATGTATCAGGTGATATCTTTCTTACATATATATTTGAGCTGTAGAGATATATTCAGATATACTCATTTATTGCGTTGATCCTTTAAATGCAGCTATCTACTTCTTTTGGAAAAGATAACAAAAACAAGATGGTCACTCAGCTGGAAGTGACTGCCAAGTTCATCACCGCTTCACACTCTAGAGGTGATGTTTGTTGTAATCCATATAGCACGCTCTGCTTGTGAAAGAGAACTGCTAGCTTAATAAAATGCTTAAAAATGTAATGCCGTTGTCTGGTGATTAAATCTAGTAAAATCGGTGCTAATCTGTGATAAAATTAGCCGATACCGATAGTCACTAGATATGAAAATATCGGCTGATATTATCGGCTGGACGATTAATCGGTCGGGCTCTATTTGTCACTCCTCCTCTGTTTCATAACTTTATGGCTGAAGTGATTCATCCTTTACGGACAGTATTTCCATTGGAAAGAGTATCACATTGGTGATGGGCATGTAGCATGAAAACATGACAAATAGTTCAAATATCGCCTCTAATCTCAGATAGAAGTCATGAATTAACAAAAGCATGTGCTGTATGTTTACATAAAAAAAAAAAAAAAACACATTTCAACATTCCTATCATGTTCTCCAAACTTAAGAGTGGAATGTCATCCTCGATACATAAATACTTTTACAATAACTAGAACTTTGAAAAATATTACGTGGTCAATCCAAAATAACACTCAAACACTTAAGGTACATTATTATACAACCAAACTGAAATGAGAGACCAAGTTTGAGACAACACTCCATGACAAAATAATTATCATAAATGATGTGAAATATACATTATTAATCTTAACTCTTTTTTTTTTTCCATGTACAATTTTCATCCACTGACATACATTATATTACAGCGATGGATGGAGTCTCAGTTAATGGGAGGACAAGTGCATAGCAAAATAGATCATTTGACTGAGTTAAAGAAACACATCAAACTGACAAAGCAGCTTTAGAAAACAACATTAAAAACCATGTTTAAGGCAAATCTCGTCATTTGAAATTGGCATAGTCTGAGAAAATGTCGACAAAGTCTTGTACCACCCTGTAGCAGAAGTCGTACTGTTCCTGTGGGGGGAGGGGGGTAAAAAGACAAACAGAAAAGATGGTTCTTTTTAGTCAAGTTAAAACAAGTAACAGGAAGTAGAACTCATTCTTTAAAAACATTTTTAGCTCTTAAATGAATTCAAGGAACACTTCCACAGGTACTTACCACAGTTTGGACCATATGAGGCCTCTGCATGCGTAAACTCTTCACAGTTTGGAACACGTCCAGCAGGCCTTCTGCTTTGACGCGCTCCAAGATATTGCTCAGTGCAATGAACGTACCTGTTCGCCCTGCACCAGCACTGCAGCAAAAAATAAACACAACAACTCTTAAAAAGTAATTCAAGCCTGGGAATACACTGTTGAATTATACAAAACGTGGCTGTAGACTGCCCAAATATGATGAAAAACAGATGATTAGTAGCTACCTGCAGTGTACGACGATGGGATGGTTCCCAGACTGCTGCTGCTGCCTCTGCACCGAGGCGATGATGTCGATCATGCCCTTCCCCTCGGCCGGGATGCCGACCTCCGGCCAGCCGTGGAAGTGGAAGTGCCTGATCACCCTCGTCTGCTTCTCCTTTGAGAGGAAATGCACGGGCAGACAAGACATCATGATACCTTTCAAATGTGATTCATTAGCAGCATATGAAAGTGTAATGGCAGGTGCAATGTCAGGGTAGGTTAAGTGTGCAGCAGATGAGTGGTGGACTGATGGGTTGCTGATTCTGGAGGCTGGCGTGTTCCGCCGAGCCTCTGAGAGGTGATGTGGGTCGAATGTAATGAAATATATGAGATGGGAGTCTCCCACCTGATCTTCCTAAACACATCCTGCCCAAACACATTTACTCTGGCAGCCAGAAGAGTTCTCTTTCTGCAGCAGACCGTTTTGTTTGGTAATTAGTAGCTTTTCAGCTTTTTACACAGAGATACTCTTAAAATTCACAATTTTTGACCTTTGGCGTATTCAGGGATTAAGTTTTATGTTTTACTATTCTTTCATTATGAAGGTTTGTAAAAGCTTCTGACTTGTCAGTAGCTTCATCGAAGAGACATTTTCTGTTTATTCCTCTCAGATGCTTTAATGTTCATCACCGTTTTAGGCTTAAGAAGATGAAATGATTCATCTTGAGTTGCAAAAATTGCAGAAAAGTACAAAAATAAACTCTTTTCTTCTCCTGTTAATTACCCCAGACATTTCTTATGAAATCCAAGGGTTGGGCAACACACGTTAAGTTCCAACTTCTCCACTATGTGGGGCTATGTAGCTCAGTGTGTTTTGGTTAAGGAAATTATCACTCCAATAAGTAAGCATAAGAACATAATGACAAAATGAATCATTGAAAATGTGAAAACTTAAATGAAAAGAAACAAATTTCAGCTGCCATAAGCCCAGTAAAGATGGAGTTTCCGTTCAGTCATTGCATTACATTAAAGATGCACTTTATGATATCTTAAATGATATCTACATTTGTTCTTTGTTGTCTATTTTAGAGCAAGTTATCATGTCCTCATTTATCTGAATTTGACTCATTGAATCATATTCTCGTAGTTGTGCAGCTGTTGGATAAAGACAAATGATTTCCTTTGCAAAGCGCTGGAACACTCAAAAGAATTTGACCAAGAGAGACAATAAATGCCTTTTTACTCCCAGCAGTCAAATGTAATGTGTTTTTACTGCCACATTAACAGCTGTGTAGTGCACGTGTATTTGCTTACCGGGACAAAGGTGAGTACCAAGTCTCGTAGACTGAAGGTGTCACACAAAGTGTCTCCCTTCAACTCCACTGTGTAATCTCCATATGTGACGGAGTCCTCTGTGGGCCAGTACTGGCAACATTTGTCCTGCAAAATACAAACCAACAGAGTGTGAATTCCCCCCTGATAAAAAAAACAAAACAGAACAGTGAACATGGAGTTGTGAACATAATTTAGTAGCAGAGGCCGGAAAGATGTGTCGTTGTTGCACTAATGTAATGTTAAATGAAACCATCCATCATAGCACACTTGCCGTCAGCAGCTTTCACAGCTTACCTGCTCCCTCTCCTGGAGCTCAGTGAGCATGACAATGGAGTGACATTTCCACTCCCACACCATCCTCCAGAAATCCTCCAGTGTGGTCGGCAAAGGGCCCTGGGTGGCAATGAAGTAGTCCTTCTGTCTATAGCCCTAAATCAGAGCGAAACAAACACTGAAGTTTAGCTTTATGTGTCCTTCAGTAGGTTTTTATTAGGAAATACTTCTGGGCTGTCACTGATACAAATGCAAGAAGGAAAACATTAGGTAAAAAAAGAATATGCTTACATCTATAAAGGATGCATTGACGTAATCAGTGAACTCCTGACCTCTTCTCATGGAGAGAATAACTCTGTTGAAGTCATCTGAAATGGGGTAAAAAACAGGAAATTCTCCTTCAGAATAGAGTAGCTTGTAAACATGTTCACAGTGTTTCAGGTAAGCCGAGTGGGCGTCAGAGGAAACTAACAGAAATTGAACACTGCCACACAGGGTTAAAAGAAAAACATGCTCAGACACTTCAAAGAAGCCACAAACTAATTTTATGGTTTTTTTGTCTCTCTCTTACATGGAATAATTTGAAGAACTCGGTTCTTCTTCATGTTGGCAGGAAGGTTCCCCGTTCTCATGTTCTCCTTCATTATTCGCATGTTGGTCAGTTTCTATTCAAAAGTAAAGCAAGCAAAATGGAACCGTAAGTGACAAGTATAATGAAGCAAACACATTTAAAAAGAGGAAAAGAACCTGTTACACTGTTGTTATATATGTTTCACATGGACGTCTGTAAAGATAAAAGCAGAATGCAGACAATATGACTTATATGACCGTTTGCTATGTATCCTTCATGTCCTTCATAAGGCCTTTTTGCTTATATAGCTGTTCATAAGCATACAATATAAAGTTCATAAGCATACAATATAAAGCCTTTCAAAACCAGTAGTTTGTACTATACATTAAGAAGCTGGCGTGGCTTTAGGAGAGCTAAATAACCTCATCATACTGTATTACATGCAATACAGTGTTAGTTTTGTGTCTAACTGCTAAGGGACTATTTTAGATAAAGCTGATCCTCTTCTCTCATGCTGGAGATGTTCCTTTGTGGTGGTTATGTTTTTAAGAACAACTATATTTGATGTGAAAAAAATGAAATTGCACATTAAAAGAGTTATATTAACCAATGTTCTTGTAACCTCAACAGTTGAAGGCAATTCAAAATATGCACTCCTGTTATTCACAAAGGTTATTTGGTCCCTTTTCTTGTGTCACGTGTTGATATTTGATCAACTGGGATCTTGTATGATCCCGGATTGGGAATAATAGGTTGTACCTTAAACTCCTCCTCGAGGCCGACCCGGTCACCGTTCACGAAGGTGTTGTGCAGTTTGCTCAGATGTCCTTCCAGAGACGACACATCCAACTCTGTGTCTCCGTAGAGGTAGTATTCAAGCAGGGCCTGGTAGACGAATGAGTACTGCATCTGTGTCGGGGGGGATAAAATCAGATCAACACATACAAGCACACGTTCCATGGGCACATAGATTATTTAGGGAGGAATCATTCACACATTTGCTTTCAAGAATTAGTTTTATATCATGTGGCTGACAGAAAATTGCCCCTGTCCGACTCACATCTGTCTGAATGAGCTGTGAGCGCTGCTCTCGTATCTTAGCGACAATCCCAAACACGTCAACCTTCTGCTCGGCGTGCATCATGTCGATCATGGCGTCTATTACGATGAAGGTTCCTGTCCTCCCAACACCAGCGCTGCGGAGACACAAAACAAAGCCCCATCCTCAGCTGACACTTGCATGTTAATGGACAACAGCAGTGAAACAAAGAGACATCTGTGCCTGAAAACACATGGATTGTTCAAGTCATTCAAAATATTTCCAGCCGTAGACAACAGCTTGTTTTCCAGCGGACAAACAAAGCAGATACTCATGCTGCAAAATATTTATCTCCATAGAAACTAATAAGACAATAAAACCATTTAAAGCACCAAGGAAACAAATCAAAAATAAACAAGCGCTGTGGTACCTGCAGTGGATCACAATAGGCCCAGCGAACGGTGGGTTAACCGCTTTGACCTTTTTCAGGAACTTGAGCATGCCGATGGGGGAGAAAGGAACTCCAAAGTCGGGCCAGCTGGTGAAGTGAAGCTGGGTGACGAGCCTGGGAGTCTTGGCAACATCGCTAGCTTGCTACACAGAGACACAAACCACAGACAGAAACATTTAAAAACGTACTGGAATGGAAAGCTTGAATACTAGGGGTGGATATCGCAGGGAAACTCACCCTATGATACGGTTCAATATAGTATGATATGCCAAACCATATGAGACGATATGATTAAGATAATTGAATCACAATATAGTGCTTCTGCAATAATTGATATATTGCAAGACAATAATATAACACATCATGATATTTCAGTTTCACGTCTTTTTGTACTTTTTTTATTAACTTCTTTTCACCGCAGTGCAACATTTTCCTGCTGTCTTTTTCTTTAACCCTGCAGTCAACTTCTTCATTAGCAAATAGTTTCTCTTCAAGATACCATCATATACGTATGTCATCAGCACCAACTTGAGAAATCATGAAGTACTGACACGGTGAGTCAATTTAGCAGGGAAATCTGTTTAGATGGCCATATTTTTTTGGAATGAAAATGTTGATATATGAGACCGGCGAAAACCATCATTTAATCACACAAATCAGGACGACAATATATTGCAGTATTGGTATTTTGTCCCACCCCTACTTAAAACAACCAAATATCTTGAAACATTGTTTACCCCAGAGAGCAGCACGTTCCTAACTTACAAAAATGCCATGGCCCGACTTAGAAATGAAATGAATTACTACCATATTTTTTTATTTCAAAAACAGAAAGATGTTATGTGAAGTGGGCCTGTAGCAAAACACTACAAATAAATAATCCATCTGCATACACAGTAGCCAAAAAAAAAAGTGCTAATAGTTTGTTTTTCAACTAAAGATGAAGAACTATGAACTGATTATTGCAAAAGAGTTCTTGCGTCACACCTCCAGTGCCGTCACAGCCCACACGTTCCCATTCACTGACCCAGAGAAACATTTTACTTAGTTAGAATTCAAAGCTGTTCGTCTCCCTTGAAAAGGGAACTAAAGCCCACAGGATAAAACTGGTTTCACAAACACCACCCTTGCTTTGGTAAACATACAATTTCTATGAACTACACAAGCACTTCTTGTTACTCACATATTGTACACAGAACTTGCGTATGGTGTAGTCGACGAGCACAGTGAAGTCCTCTACGGCCACCCTCACATTCCCGTAGGTCCAACAGCCCTGATCCGGCCAGTACTGGTGACACTTATCCTGAGGGAGAGCACAGCCATTATTCAATACTTTTAAAGAGGACTTACTTTTTAGGAGGCAAAGTGTTTCAAATGTAAAATCACACGTGCTTCAATTTCACAACCAGTCCACATTGGTTTAAGTGGGAGAGGTGAAAGCACTCGATACAAGACTCTGAGGGTGATTATGACACTCCCTTAGAGGACCTAATTGCACATTATGTGGTCATTGATTTTAACTCGTCCACATGCTGATTTAAATCTTCACAAATTCTCTTCTTATTGATTTTTTTAAGCCTTCCTCTTGTTCAGTGAATAACCTCTGTTTCACATGCTTCACAATAGAGACACTTAATAGCAGAGAAAGGAGATGTCAGAGGGGAGAGCATAGGAGTGAAATTAGTAGTTCAAATCAAAGACCGTGGTTTCACCTTTGACCATAACCAATGGAGTCTATTTGAAGCACACTTCTTCTTAAATCCTTTTTGTAACACTCCATTATTCCCTTCACAGAATCAAAGACTTGAGGCTGGAGTAGAAACGCTGGAGGCTTCTTTTTTTTTCCCTCCATTTTAATTTTTCGGCAGGGAAACTGTGACATGGTTAGGAAAATAAAGAAAAGCTGAAGACCACTCACTTCTTTCCTTTCTTTGAGATTTGTCAGCATGACAACGGTCGCTACTTTCTGCTCCCATATCATCCTCCAGAACTCTGCTACAGTGTCTTCTTTAGGACCTGTGGAAACATTGAAGGATTATTATCATCACATGGGAATTTCAAAGACATGAACCTAAAAATCAATCTATTAACAGAGAAATGTCACATGTATTATTAACATGTGGATCATTGTGTCTTACCTTGGGCTGCTATGAATTTGTTCTTTTCTGTGAAACCCTGTAAGAAAGGAATAACAATTTAATTATGAATACGTGCAAACCTTTAAAGTTCATAGTCAGCTAAGAGAGTTTTCATTAAGCCCTCACATGCTCAGAAAAAAGGAAATTGATCAACACTTCTTGAATAGCTTATAACAGAGAGAACAGCAGTGAAATTGGTACATAAATAAAGTCAAATTTAATTTATGGAACTCATTAACAGAACATAAGAAACCATACCGACATAGGAAAGTAATGTATAGTCATTATTTCTTTGGTGCAGTTGGTGTGACATGTCTCACTGGAATAAACCATAATTAACTGAATGATGGAAAAACAAACAGAAACACTCACATCAATATAAGAAGCATTCACATAGTCTGAACAGGGATTTGCATCCAGCTGAGTCAACACCACTCTGGAATGATCATCTGTTTGTGGAAATAACAGTGAAAAGATTAAAGGTTTACAGTGCAAAAAAACCACACCACACCACACAGTTTGAAACAAAAGAATAAAAACACTGCCATGTTTGTGTGGTACAAATCAAAGTATATCCAGCAGCCAGTTAGCATCGCTTAGGGCAAATAAATAATGGACGAGAGTTACCCTGTTTGAAGATTCAAGCCTGGCAACCATTTCACCCAAAAAATGTTCCAGTCATAACCTCCTGACACACTACACCCTTGGTTACCATTCTGGTCTGGGCCACCCTTGGGGGCATCAAACTCTCAGGGGGCGCGTGAGGTTTGTCTGCTCTGAGGTTGTCAAAATCATTATAACAGACATATTGGATGATTTCGAAATTAGTCTTTCGATAAGAACGTTTGTGTGCAGGCTTATTCTGTTGGGATTTATTAGTTAAACAATTAAAACTGAAGATCATTTTTGGCAGCAATGTGTTACTTTTCTTTCTTGTTCATGGGGAAGCGTGGGTACAGGTAAGGGGCTCCATGGAAACAACTTGAAACAGCAGCTCTTCACTAAAGTGACATGAAGAAGAATACATGAAAAGCTAGCTCTAGAACAAGAGTAATAACCCTCTCATGTCTGTGCTGTTAGCTTAGCTTAGCATAAAGACTTGAAATAATGGGGAAAATCTAGCCTGTCCAGAGCTGACAAACACCAGTTACCTGCTGAAGTGTGGGTGTCTTTTTCCCAATAAAATACTAAAGGTGCCCTATGCTAAGCTAAGGTTAACTTAAATATATGGGCTAAGCCAAGTCATCATTTCTTTTGGTGGCTGTGATAATACATACCTACCTCTGTATGTTTCACAAACAACTTTCAAGGTAACATGTTTGTGGAAGTTAGAAAATGAGTTGAGATAAAACACTAGCACATATGAGCACAAAGCACTTATTTAGCGATTGACTGTGAATGTGGTATTTACCTTTTTATCAGCGAAACCTCATAAAGTGCTAGTGCTGTGTTTATTTGCCTGAGAGGCTGGCACGCAGTTAGTGTGCTCAGTTTGTCTTCGATATGGGGTGCAGGGAGGCATTTTACTGCCTGTGGAAAAAAAACAGTTTCTGAGTCTGTTAAGTGTTTGATCGCATACATAAGTGATGAAAAAAATTAACCCCGTTAATTAATTAATCAGAGATGAGTGATAGGAATATAAGCTGCAAAAATGAAGACAAGGGAGGAAACTCTGAGTGCTGATGTGTTTCATTGTGAATGACTGCATGCGCTGTGGGGAAGGATCTACTGTATCTGAACAGTAACAAAAAAACCCCACTCAGAGACACGTGCACACACAGACAGGAAACTGTGAGCTCTGGGTATGAGTCAAAAGAAAATCTAGTTCCTACAGAGCTGAGAGTGCACTCACAGGGGAGGATGTTGGGGTATCTGTTCTTCTCCTTGTTCTCGTCCTTGTTGGCCTCCTCGTACGTCCCCTGGGCATTACCTCCCGGCAACGACTGCAAAGCATAATTAAAATCAGATTATATACCTACCATACTGATAAACAGTGCGACTTTTAAAAAATAGCTATACATGACTTTGTTCTGCATTGATGTATGCACTTCCTCTGCTACCTACAGAAAAAAAACAGACCTCATGAAAGCTGAGAACTTCGACTTCCTCAGCCTGCGCTTAAAAGCTGCTGAAACATTTGTATGTTCAACATGAAACATGAAAAATAATCTTTATTTTGACCTAGATCCTCAATCGGAGTCACAAAGAGGAAGGGGACATGTGTACAATGTGTCATGGTAAATGTGATTCATAGTTCCAGTAGTTTTCCTGAACAAAATACACAGAAATATATCCGTCTTTCCATGAACACACTGAGTATCACAGTTGTGGGAAAACCCTTTAAATCCAATTTTAGGTATTTTATAGGGTTTTGTTGCACCAGTTAAAAGCACCCAAAGGCAACCTCTTTAAAGATACTTTTAACGCTATGGAGATACATTATTTAACAATGATAATAATTATATTGTCTTTTTATTGATCACTGCAATCGTAATGTAACATTTTATGTAGCTCTTTTGTGTCTGTTCCTAATATGTCTTTGTTGTATTTCAAGTGTAATGAGCGTTTTTTTTCTCCAAAATGTGGTTCCTTATGTTAATGTAATTTTTTAAATGGCAAATATTTGCACAAGAAGATATTTTGCTTTGGCGAGCTGTACTCTTTCTGTTTTATTTTTAACCAAATTTATTTAACTGCTGGGTCAACTTGTACTTTCAAAACTACAAAACAAATGTGGCCATCGCATATTATCGCAAATGGCTCCAGCTCAAATTCACCTTCAACCACACTTAATTAAAAAAGTTGGTAATCAATATGTGAGCAATCCTAAAAACATTGTGTATACAGTATATGATCCACAATTGGAGATATTTCCATATTAGACATTTTACATTTAGCTAGCTTTGATTAACATTAAAATTTCTGCTAACACCATGTCATTATGTTTGTTATTGTGTCAAGATAATTAACCTAAAGCCGTATGATTTTTTGAGGGGGCTGATTGGTTTTGGTATCGCATAGGCGCACTGACATGTATTTCAGGCAATAGGCCAGAGGCCAATACCAAGACTTCTGTATCGTATTGGGAACCGGCCAACTGTACTTTCAATGATCCACTACTTCTATTTTGAACACCCAACGTAAAAACCACTTCCTACTTTCTGACCACCTTTTACTCTAACTTCAAGTTGAAAAGGTTGCTTACATTGTACTCCTCCCTGAAGAGCTTGCCGTCGTCAGCTGAGCGGAGCCGGTACTCCTCCTCCAGGTGGTCCACCGGGATGGGTAGGTAAGTCTTGGCGGCTGTGGGGGATCTTGGGAGAAGGACCACCGTTTGTTGCTCTGTGGGGAGAACAGTGAGTGAGTTCGTTGATCATCCCTCGACGAACGGATTGGGTTAAATGTTATGGTGACATTTTTGGTGGGTTAAAGAAAATAACTGATTTATTCATTCAATTATTGTTTAATTACTTACAACGGGAAATGATTCGGTTTAATTAAACCAGGATTTCACAATGTTTTTGTTAGACAAACTGTAAAGTCAGATACATTGAAGAACCTCTTCATACCAACACCTCCAAGTGAGTCCATTTGGTTGATGCCAAATTTGCTCTTTTTAACACTATTACACTTTTTTACATTATTTTTTTTACAGTGTTTTTATGGAACTATAAGTGTCTCGGTTGATTAGGTCAACTTTATGACTACCACTTGGCAGCCAATCATCCATTACTTTAAGGCTACTTTAACAACATTACTTTAAGTTAGCATTGTTAAACATTCTACCATTACTTTTAGCTAACTACTGAAATTAACTCTAAAGTATAAATTTAAACTATAAAGCCATAACTTAACACTAACTACAACTGTGCAACCTTTACTTTAAGCTAAATTAACTAAGCACACAAACTGTTTACTTCAAGCTATCCGTTTACACCACTTAGCCATGACTTTTCAAACATAACTTTTAGCTATCAGTTTCAAACATTTATCCACTACATTTCACTCAGTCTACTCCAACTTATTATTAACAGTTTAGCTTTTATTTGATCTTTTATTCTAGTATCCATATAATTAACCATTAATCAATGCCTAGCCACAACTGTTTATTGTTAACTTTATGTTTAGCCATGTATCCATTACATTAAGGTCTGTATTCTAAATGAAGTTTTGGCTAATTTCTTTCATTTAACCATAATTTTAAGCTAACTTTTCAATCACTTGTCTATCTCTGCTTGTTGGCTGACTAGTGTTTGCTCACTCTCAATTGCAGCTCTTGTATGCTACTCTGTGTTGAATTGGACAGAATGGAATTACATTTTTGATTAAAACTTCTAAAATCAAATTTCTGCTTTTTTTCATTTGGGTACCCAACAGCGTAAAGTTAATAAAATACCAAAATAACTACCTATTGATCTGAAATCTTATGACATGATGGTGTCTTGGTGTCTCCCTACAAACACCTCAATGAATTAAGTGTGAAATCAGCCCCCCCTCAAAAAACAACAGGTGTTAGAAAACAAAGGTACCCCAGGAGACAAGCCACCTTTAGCACCCTTTAGGCAGGTTTTATGAGTGGAAATCTCTCAGGCACCCAACTAGCCATTTGGTTAGCTTTTACAATTTGGAAAATGTAAATTGAAAGAGTACTCAGAGAGTGTTAGTAACATGTGGTTCCTGATACCGCCACCCTGTATACCTGACCTGGTGGTATAATGGTGCATAAGGACTCAGTACTGTATCCACACTCTAAAACACAACACATATCAAACATATCACAAAACAGCACACAAATGCAAAATAATACTGTCATTAGAAATAGCAATTAAGTCATTTTGACATCATCGCGTTCATAAGACAGAAGGCAGTTTCTGTGTGCACACGAGACCCTTCTGCTTCCACTTTCATCAATAACAGAACCTTTAATCCTGAACCAAGCCAACATTCAATCTGAATATACACTATAAAGATCTCACAGTACAGCAAAGTTCAAGAGTCAAAATGACATCACTGTATAGAAAGAGGTAGACAGTGTGTCATGTTAACTATTAAGGTAATAAGCGGCTTGGCTAATACCATGACATTAACTCTGCGTTTGTCACATCTACTTTGAGCTGGGCTGTGTGTTTCTTGCCATATATTTGTGTTACAACCATCTCTTGCAGAATCAAACTTGCTATTTTCATGACAGATAAGAAAACACTTCTTCAATAACAGGTCCCCAAGATGTATTGTTTCCTGTAAACTCAAATGCTTCTGTTAGCAAACTTGACAACAATCTAAATGTCTTTAAAATACTGTTGCTCAAATCGCTGTGACATCTGCTCGGGTCTATTCACAGATAATTGTTCACACTGTTTTCACATGCAGTGGCAAAAAGCTATTAAAGTGAGGGTGATAGCAAGCTTTTTTTTCTTTCATGACATTAACCACAGGAAGTCTAAAACCACCCCAATGTAAAAGGTGACAACGTGCACCAACATCTCAAACATAAAGTCAATGCTTCAGTATACCTCAAGCCCTCTGTCTTAACCACTTTCATTACTGTGTTTCGAAAAGTCTCTCTTCGGTTCTTGCAATTGCTCTTTTTAATGACAGCCTGCGGCTTGTATAGTCTTATTATTCTGTTTCTCATAATGTCCCATTAAAGACAATGTTACCTTGTTCCTCCAGGATGCCATTGGGTACCTTCTTGTCAACTGTTGTGACGACTGCTTTTCTCTGGTTTTTTAACCTGTCAGAATAAAACATTTAAATCAAATGTAATCACACACAGAACATGTCACAAGGTCAATTTACATTCATAAGAAAGCTATACGGTACTTTAAAACTCTGAAATTTGCCATAAACCAAGAATTATCCATCCTACCATCTAAAACTTGAGAAGCTATTCTTTCTCATTAGCTGATGTCTAAAAACAGTGTTCTAGTCCAAATGTGATGCAGAATTTGTTCTCTGCTCTCCTCTGTAGGTCCAATGTTGAAGCCTGTTCTCTTCTCACTAAGCATGAGAGGGAGTCAGCTCACTGCACTTCCTGGCAGGGCTCCGCCTCAGTGACTAAAGGAGGAAGTGTATGTCACACTGAGCTCTGCCCCCTGGCCTGGCCCACAGCCAGTCAGAACAAGGCCCAGAGAGTGAGGCGGGGTGAGGAGGTAAGGTGGGTGAGTCCTTGCTGGGTGGGGAGACTTTTATTTTATTTTTTACCTGAGGAAGTACCAGGCTAGCAGTGCGATGATGAGCAGCAGCAGGGACAGGACCAGCACGGTGGGGAGGATGTGTTGGCTGGGGGATGTAACGTCTTCTAAGGAAGAAGGAGAGGCAGAGCCGGGGGTCAGGGAGCACCGGCAACAAAGAAGCAGGAAGAAGGGGCAAGGCAGACGATATATATGTGTTTGTGTGTGTGCAAAAGCTTGGCCTCATACATGTTTTAAAGCCATGTGAAAACACAAAATCGATACTGCATGCACAGCAATGTGCCACCCGTGCTCTCTTATGGTCACAGGCCTGATTTAATAACTGGCTTCAGCAGTATTTTGTTGGCAAAGATAAGTATCAGCTAACAGAAAATGAGCAGCTCTGAGAGTGCCTACTCAGCCAAGAGTCACAACCACACAGCCGGCTATTAGCTGTGTTCATAAGGACGCACAATGAGCCGTAAATTACTGTCCAATGCTGCTGAAGTTTATTGTGATCCGGTAATAACAAGGCTGTAGAAAAGGGCTATTATCACACAGATGAATGCAATGAGGTAGAAGATAAAGAATAATCATATCTCAGGGAAAAGTGATGACTGCAGAGGGTTGCAATGTTTTTGTTGTTATCTCAGCTAAAGTGCTTCTCAATCTCACATGTTGAGGTGCATTGCTCATGTTGTTGCTCTTACCTGTTTTATTGGTGTCATTGCTGGTGAAATTGGATGTTGTTGTGATTGCCATTAAAAACAGAAGTGGGACCATTGTGACTGCAAGAAAACAAAATGAAGACGGATATTAAATTTAGTGCCGGACATGTTTGCAAAGTGAAGATTCATGAGATCATGCCCTGCTGGATAATATCACCATTTAGAGAGCACAAATGCTATTGACAGATCTGAAGCATATTTCTTTATTGGATGACTGTTTCTTTCAGGAATGTGCACATCGGTGCAAAGTTCACCGAGACACAATGGAACAACACACTCATATCCTGGTCATTCATTAGTCCTGTCATAAAAAGCTCTCACCGTGTAATGTCTTATATGACCACAAGGAGGCACAATAATCCAATGTTAAAAAACATGGCTGGCTGCGATCACATGCTGCCTCACAAACCCATTGAGAAAAAACTGCAACTATAACATCCAGACCAGGGGAGAACCAGAAATGTTAAATATATATTAATTAATATAACTGACAACATTTTCACAGTTTACTCTTAAGTAAGAGAATTTAAGTGTTTGCAAATGTCTGAGACTAATACCTGCAGTCAAGTGGTCGTCATGAAAAGGAAAGGTGATGCATTCATTTGCACTCACTACACAATTCTCCTTACTTTACTCTAAGAAGGCATTTATTTATGTTCAAATCAGTGCAAAAAGAAGTCAAGGAAATTCCACTCTAAGCTGACAACAGCTGTTTTCCTTCAGCTGTTTCCGTGGCAATCCTATACTGACACATGTGATTTCTAGGATATAGCATGTGTAGGGTATTAGTGAGCTGTATGATAGAAACACACATGTTGACACATGTAACACGCACAACATTAAACAATCACGAATAAGGGGATAAGCCAAGCTAAAGTGGAAGCATCAGATCATGGGGTTGCAGGCAACAAGAGGCTTAGCACCTACACCCTCATGCTCTGCTCTTTGCCATCACACAAACACTTGCACAAAGACTTACACTCAGCACACACACACATGCATGCAAGCACCCAAAGCATCATGACCCCTGCAGGAGTCTCAGCTGAATGATTGGGATCATTCACTTATTTTCTCCTGGTTCTAGAAAGCAGAGGGGGGATGATAAAGGACCATCTCTAATCAATTTCTCTGTTTGAGCATTCAGAAAGGGGTTCACTTCTTATTGATTTACGCACCTCTTTTATTTTGAAAGCTACTGGTTAGATTTGAAAACGATTATGCAGTGAGATTCAAAGATTTTTCTGGGGGTTTTTTTGGGCAAAAGCCCTCCAAAAAAAGTTTATATTTAATTAAAGAATGAGCACAGAGCTGCTTTCACATCCATAATGAAGAAGAGCAGGGTGTGCTTTGTCTCCTCTGGACTGCAGGTGTGTTTGGGTGTGTGCTTGCGTGTGTGGTGCTTTGCAGCTGTGGTGAAAATAAAAGCCCAGGCCAAGTGCATCGTCAATGAAGACACTGTGTGTTGAAGCCTCCATGCTGTGCCGCAGTGTCCTGTAATGTGTCCAGGCAGGACACCGGAGGAATGTGGAGACAGCAGAGCAGAGACACTGACTGCAGCAGGGAGAGAGGGAGCAGAAGGTCCAGGTCAATAATATTTCCTGGAGCGATTAATAAACCCTGACATGTCCACCCCCTCTTCTCCTCCACCGGGAAAGACTGATGAGAGAATTCTAATGAGGGAGGAGAGGAGGATGCTACACCCCCTTCTCCTGCTCTCATCCCTCTTTATCCCCCCTCTTTAAGGCTCTCTCTGCAAATGTCACAAGCTTGAATGAGGGGGAGGATATTGAGCTGACTTAGTGCAGAGTGTGAATCCTCTGGGTCCTTGAGGTTCTTTTTATATGGTGGAAGTAGAGTTGCTCTGATACTTATACCATTATCGGAAATGCCTCTGATACTGCCTGAAATGCTGTATCGGGAAATGGCAAGTGTGCTAGTGCAGAGTTTTTCAAAGGGGATGGGTCCCAGAGACTTTGAGGGAAGGGCAGTTTTGAATCACTGCATATTGAAATCTGGGAGTTCTCTTTCGAAACCAGTCTCTAAAATAAAAAAAGGAAACACCAATCTAGCTGAACCATATTAAGAAGCGTAATGTTGGGAGGGAGGTTCCCCGCCAGAGGCTATATGTGGGAGTTAGGGAACCCCCAGTGCTAGTCAACCTGCATGATATCACAATATATACGCCTCCTAAACATTAACATGTGTATTTCTCTTCATGACAGTAGCCCACAATGCAACAATTTATATTATGGCTGCAACTAGTAGCACCCCACCTCACCACCCACCCTTAAATAATAACAGATTTGAGGTGAATTATCAAGTTATGTTAGCAAACAAAAGAAGTGTGGTGCTAAGCAAGAGTGTTTTGTTGGAGATAGCGTTTTCATGTCACACAAGGAGGCAAAAGCTTAATTTTTTTAATGTAAGACAACTAACACTAGCAAAATATCAAAAAGAGCATTTTTTGGTTAAAAAAAAACACTACTTTTTTATCTGTGTTTGGGGACACTTGAAATCAGGAAGGGTTAGCTTGTTGTTAGACTAGCTTGTATCCTTTAGAAATGGCACAACGCACCAACCTGATACCGCAAATTTATTAGCCCCTCCAAAACAATTGTGTCATTAGCAAAAGAGAGCAAAATATCAGTAACTAGAGTTTCTTATCCCATCAAACAAATTAAGGCTCCAATATTTCAAAAAGAGGAGTTTCATGTGAATAAACACTTTAACCTTCTACTCTATCTGCAGGAACGGCTGCTAGCCCAGCTGATGCTAACATTAGCTTATCTTGTTTTTGGTTGCCTAGCTTGTTTTTTGACAAGGATTCCTCTGGTGGCATGGCTCTTAGATAAATTGGCACTGTTGTATCTAAAATGGGATTTAACAAGATAAACATAACTAATAAAAAATGGTTTTCATTCCCAATTCAACGGGGTACCTGATTATGGGAAAATGCTCAAGTGAAGTATCTAAATCCGTACTGGGAAGGAAAAAAATGCAGTCAGAAAATCTCTAGTGGAAGTTCCATCTTGTGCCATTGAAATGCTGAAATTCATGTGTACTGTGTCTGCTTGCTTATGAGTTTGAAGGCTCAACATGGACACTGAGTAGAGTGCTCAAAGCTAACCCTGAGGCTGTGTCTTGTGGTAAAGTGCTGCTGCTGCTTCTTGTAAGCATTCCTTGCTCCTGACTCCCTCTTTTCCCCTCCATCACCTCTGGAGACGTCACACTGTAAGCCTCCAACCCCTGCGCGGCTCATCTGCTCCTGGGGGACCACGGGCTGCTTTTCCCATCTTGTCATTGCTTTGGTCTCCTGCCTGACCTCTTCATCATCTCAGAGGAGATCAACAACTTCCTTTCCTCCGCCTTTGTGGGGCAATGTCCCCAGTGAAACTATAAATACCACTGCTTCCTTTTCCTCGGGGTATCTTATCACTTTCCCCGTTTTCATTATTTTCTCAGCATTAAACAGCCGATAGCACGAGTCTCAAATTAGACGCTAGCATTAGTCATCACTTAACACAGGTCAGATTCTGGGCAAACAGCTATCGTCACATTGTGTGTGCTCTCATCTATGTATTGTCCCTTCTCCATTTAGCACTCTGCGACTACTCACAAACCACCCGCCATGACGAAAATAGGTCATGGGAGATGTCAGCCCGGGGGAAGTTTTAAGGCGCCCTTATTTTTCGATGGCAGACATTGGCTAGTAGCCTTGGGAAGGGTATTGTCCCAGCCAGCAAGAGAGAAAGTTATTAAAGTGGTTTGTTTGTCCTGAGTTACCCGGGCATTGAGTTAGCTCTGTATCACCTTGGGTCAATGTGGTCTTGGGTTGCTAAATGGGAGGCCTCGGCTGAACTGAAGGGACCCAAACGCCAAACACAAACTCAATACAGGTTTATTCAACATTTAAAAAGGTGTGGGAAACTTAAAACTACATCAAGGTATAACAGGCCATGTAGCAAATACATCAATGCTGTTCATTGAAGGATGTATATTCTGATTGTGTTTGAAGCAACACCTCTCTCTTTCCTCCAATAAGGGGGGACATTATGTGAGGCCTTATCACTCTGAAATAGCCATATCAAAGCCATTTGTATTTAAGCATGGATTTCTTTTTGTAGAGATAAAGCCAAATCAAGAGGGCACCATCCGGTTTTTACCACATTTCCAATCGTATTAGTTTCAGCTGAACTTGAGAATGTATTTTTAGGGTTAGGGCACTACACAAGGACTGCCCATTTGTCCTATATCTCTTTCACTGGAGAAGCCCTAAGAGGGGGATCTTTTCATGGCAAGAGGGAATAGTAAGATTGAAAACAGTGAGGTTCCTGCAATTATATCTGTATCAGTTAATAGATCGAAATGATGAATAATATGACATTGCAGTACAAAAAAAAAGCCTAACTATCTCTGCATTTCAATTCCCATAGAGTATTTTTTTACTCAAAGTGTACGTACTGCATAATATGACTGGGCATAGGACATCTTGTTCATTTGGGAAAAAAGCCTTTTACATAAAAACACAGTGGGACTTACTAAAACTTTTTTCGCCATACTAACTGTAATGGAAGAGTTGGTTTGACTCTGTCAATCTAATATAGTTTGTCAGGATCAGTACTGCTTCATAGATTTTGTCCGATTATAAAATGTCCAACTCATTTTGCATCTTCTTGGCCATTATTTGAAAGATGAACATGAAGGGATCCATACAAAGCTTGTTTTGTTCAAATCAAGTCTTTATATGTAAAACCAAAAACTTCCCACTTTATTAGAGTATTTGAGCCTTAATATTGATATCAGTACCAAGTTTAAAAAAGTCAAGCATGTGATCTAACATTTCTTTGGACACTGGGAAAAAACTGTAAATAGAATTGGCATACAATCTTGAGCTAAAAGCAAAGAAAAAAAAAAAAATGTTCTTCCAGATTGTTTGGAAATATTACACTTGGCAACATTAATGTTAAACATCACGACTACAACAAGACTAAAAATGTGCTATTGCAGACATTCACCATTCTTCTTCATTCAAAACAATGACCCTGATTTCAACCGTACGA